TGTCCCCCCTCACCCAGGCCAGGGGCCCCGGTCATCAGTCCCCCCTCGCCCAGGCCAGGGGCCCCGGTCATCTGTCCCCCTTGCCCAGGTTAGGAGCTGAGGTGACATCATCTTTCCAGGGATTTCTCTCACACAATCAAGCTGCCTGATCAGGGTCTTGTTTCCCGAAAGCCCTTCAGAGGGGCCACCTGTGTGACCTCAGCCCAAATGAGAGTTCACGGGAACCGGCACACGTGAACGTGGCCAGGCGTGTAAGGGCACCGGGGAGAGGCCTGGGAGGGCCGCACACCCGGCACACAGCTGCAGCACCTCGTCAGCGTTCTAGAACTCCCAGACCCGACAGGACAAGCGACCAACGTGTGGGCCTGGATCGAATCCGATTCAAAACTCTAGCTCCTGTGATGAGAACAGCAGGACCAAACCCAGAGCGCGGGCTCTAAGCCAGCCTGGAGGACACGCAGGGAACCGCCGTGGTTGCGCGGCCGGGAGATGCCCACTTCCTCAGGGGAGGAACCGTGCGGAGGTCCGGTGGAAGGAGGTTTTTACTTGCTCCGGGGACAAGTAGGCAGGAGTGATGCCTGCAGGCGGCGGTCACACAACTCAGCAGACAGAAATCACAGGCACACGCACCCACAGGCGAAGGTGCGCAGGGGCACGTGGGTCACAGCGGGGACCGTGTGTTTTCCACTTTCCCGTATGACCTTCTCTTCGCGGACGTTTGGGGAACATGCGCTACCAGTGTTAGCGCGGGTCAAGCCGGAGCGGACCCCGGGCCCAGCCCCACGCAGGCCACCAGCGAGGCCCGGGCCCCGCACGACCGACGGGGACACCGTCTGCACGCCTCACGTGACGGCCAGGAGGGCAGGGGGAGATCCGTCCATCGAGGCCGGCCCCGAGGTCGCGAGGGTCGGAGGCCCGGCAGAGCCAGCCGAAGCCTCCGGAGCACGGGTCGCCCCGCCCACGACGGCCGCCCCGCCCCCTGCTCGCCCCGCCCCCCCGCCGCCGTCGCCGAGCCCACCTGGTTTTCTGACCGAGCCGCTCTTTCTCCTCCTGCGGCGTCTCCAGGCGGCCCAAGGGCCTCCGCAGGCCGCAGGCCTGGAACCTGGCTGGGGCGGCTGTTTTCTTCCCACTTGGGTCAGCATCGGCGTTCCCCGGGCTTAATGCGGAAGGACAGCGGCGGCCCTCGCGCGCTGCTCGCCCCCGCCCGGCTCCACCTTTCGGCCGGGGGTGCCCAGGCTGGGGGGCGGGGAGCAAGGGGCCCGCCCGGGCATAGTTACCGGCGGCCTCCCGAGTCGGCACCCTTCTCAGCTGCCGGAGGAAGAAATTCAGCCTGGAACTCTGGAGCCTCTGGTTCATCTCTTTCTAGAAATCCAGGCAAGAGAAAAAACACAAAGTAGATGCAGACGTTCAAGTCTGAAGCACTGGGACGAACCTAGACAAGCTCGCATCTGCAGGCGACGATGCTGATGGCCTTAGAGCAATGGTTGTCAAAGCGCGGCGCGGGGAACCCTGGTGGGAGTGCCTAGAACTCTCTCGGAGCGTCTTCGGTCAAAACTATTTTCCTAGTAGTACTGAAACATCGTTTGTCCTTTCACTCTCATTTCACGAGTGTGGAATGGAGTTTCCCAAAGTCCACGTGACGTCTGTGTCACGACAGACTAACACGCCCGAACGGGAATCCAGCTGTCTTCTGACGAGCCAGACTCTTTTCGTTACATACAACAGGTTCAGTTTTGCCGTTTGCACTGAATACGTATAAAAAGCTTTTCAGCTTTAATTTTTAATACACTCGATATTAAAAAATGTAACTGACATAGGGGTGTCTGGGTGGCTCAGTCCCGCTTAAAGAATGTTAAGAGAACACAGAAGTGGGAAGGGTCCTACCGGCCAAATTTAGAACAAATTGAGCATCAAAATAAACAGGGCAGAGGGGCCCCTGGGCGGCCCAGTCGGTTAAGCGTCCGACTTCGGCTCAAGTCATGATCTCACGGTTCATGGGTTCGAGCCCCACATCAGGCTCTGTGCTGACAGTTCAGAGCCTGCAGCCTGCTTCAGATTCTGTCTCCCTCTCTCTCTGCCCCTCCCCTGCTCATGCTCTGTCTCTCTCTCAAAAACAAATAAACATTAAAAAGTTAAACAAAAAATAGTAACCGACAGAAAAAACACTTTCTGGTTGCAACGACTTTTAAGAATGTAAAGGGGTTCTCTGACAAAAAAGTTTGAGAATTATCATCTTAGAGAACCACTGTAGACTTCGAGCCAAACATGGCCAATCGAACTTCCGCAATTTCTCTCTCCCCTTCATTAAATCTCAGTGAAAATGACTACAAAGGAATTCAACAGGGCGCCAGTGAAAATCACAGGGAGTACAGGAGGAAGAGAGTAGACGAAAAGCCTATACGTTTGGGAAGACGGCAAGGCGGGGACGAATTAATACGTCCCCCCATACCTCACCTCCCAACTCCTCACCTCAGCTTGCCTTGCCACACCTCACCTCTTCTCACCTCACCAACCTCACCTCACCACGCCTCACCTCACCTCACCTCACCTCACCTCACCACGCTCACTGCACCTCAGCTGACTTCACCTCACCGTATCTCACCTCATCTCGCCACAACTCACCTCACTGTACCACACCTCACCACACCTCACTTCTCCTCACAACACTTCACCACAGCTCAGCTCACCACACTTCACCTCAAAGCACCTCGCCTCACTTCAGCTTATCTCGCCACACCTCACCTCTTCTCATCTCACCAACCTCACCTCAGCTCACCACACATCACCTCGTCTAACCACAACACCTAACCACAACTTACCTCACTTCACCTCACCACACCTCCCCTCACCAAACTCACCTCTCCCCTTTCATCTCACCTCACCACACCTAACCCTCACAACACCACAAACGACATCATAGCATACCACACGTCTCATCTCAACACACCTCGCCTCACTCACCTCACCATATCCCACTTCACCTCACCACACCTCACCTCACCTCTCACCCCAGCTCACCACACATCACCTCACGTCACCACACCATAACTCATCTCACAACTCCTCACCTCACCTCACCTCACCACACCTCACCTCACCTCACCGTGCCTCCCCTCACCACGCCTCACCTTACCGTACCTCACCTCACTTCACCTCACCAAACGTCACAAATACCATACCCCACCTCACCTCACCTCAGCTCACCACACATCACCTCACCTTACAACTCCTCAGCTCACCTCACCACACCTCACCTCACCTCACAGTTCCTCACCCCACCTACCTAACCACACCTCACCTCACGCTTCACCTCACCTCACCACAGCTCAGAAACTGAGAAACGAGCCGCGCTGCAGTTAGATGGAGAACCGAGGAAACTAGTCCAGGTTTGATGGTCTCGCCTGGTGTCCAGCACTAGCCCAAATCAAGGCCTATCTTGGATTATCGGATTATTTTTAAATCTATAAACTTCCAGGGAAAGAAAACCAAAATAGGTCACAATCAAAGGGATAAAAATGGCATCTATTTCTCAATAGAGACGCTGGAAACGAGAAAACTATAATCTGTCGCTTTCAAGAATCTCGGCCATAATTTATCTTTTTTTTTCCGACTAAAGACAGAATGATATAACCTTTGAGGAAAAAAAATAAGGCTAAAAGATAGATATAGTCTTTCTAAAGAAAAGGAATTCAGGGAAACTCTAAAGCACATCATTTATCTTCATTGTTGCCAAAACACCGGGTTATCTGTGAAAAGACTTTTATTACCATCTTCCGCAATCGGGACATTGTCCAAAAGCTCCTTCGTAGTTAACTGGTTAGCGTCTTCTTCCATCTTGGGAAGCAGAAATTAGCTACAAAAAAAATTGTAACAGGTATAGATGAATAGGATCATAGTTAAAAAACATAAATATCGGATTTCATACGCATTAACAATTTCTCTTGTAAAAAGACATTAAGAAAATGGATGAGGGGCACCTGGGCGGCTCAGTCAGTTTAGCACCCAACTCTTGGCTTTGGCTCAGGTTATGATCTCATGGTTCGTGGGCTCAAGCCCCACGACGGGCTCTGTGGTGACAGCGCAGAGCCTGCTAAGGATTCTCCCTCCTTCCCTCTCTCTCTGTCCCTCCCAGGCGCACGCTCCCTCCCTCCCTCTCTCTCTCAAAATAAATAAATAAACTTTTGTAAAAAAGAAGAAAAGAAAATGGACAAGCCCAGACTAGGAGAAAACATCCGCAGCAGAGAAATCTGACAACAGTCGTATATCCAGAATATATAAAGAGCCCCTAAACATCAACAACATAAAGTCCAAACTCCGACTGAAAAGGGGCAGGAATTTTAGAACAGACGTGGCAAGAGGAGATACACAAATGGCCAACGAGCTTGTGACACTTCGCGCCGCAGCATCAGTCCCCGGGGAAACGTGAAGTAAGACCATCACGAGACACTGCTGCGCACCTGTGAGAACGCCCCAAATCGAAAATACGAACACTGGCCCAGCACGTGACCCGGAAATCCTCCTCCAGGACGTGCCCGGGAGAAACCAGAACACATCCCTCAAACAACCTGGCACACGAGTGCTTACCCAGAGGGCCCCCAGCCGGGAAACAACCCAAGCGCCCGTCATCGTGAGCACGTGCTGCTGCTCGGGAACAAGAAGGAACCGAACGGATGCGCACGAGAGCGTGTCTCAGGAGCCTCGCCGGAGGTGAAGGAAGCCACACACGGAAGAGAACCGGGAAACCCCCATTCAGGCAAAACTACCTGCCGGCGGCCGTGGATCTGGGGTCAAAGGCAAGGAGTGGGAGGGGCGCGAGGGGCACAGTGGGGTGGGGGGTGTTCTGCATCATTTCTAGCGGTGGTTGCACACGTGATGATCAAACCTCATCCAAATGAACCTTCGGGATGTGCGTGCTATATAGCACGTCGCGTGTTACGGGGCAGGTCAGAAGCAACCCTTAAGGAATTTCAGAACATCCCTCACGCTTTAGTTCTTTGAGGGACCTTAGGAGCCTGCCTGCCCAGAACTCCGTGCAGAATGTTGATATTATGTAGGAGATGCTACAATTGTAGATGAATTTGTCTTTCATGTTTCACTTTACAATTGCTTCGGAATAATTGACTGAAAAATATTTTCAAAGCCTAATAATGTTTCCTGGATGAATCAATAATAAGTCAAGGCCAGCGATTCCTTTTTAAAAATGCTGCAAAGAAACAATCACGCATTACAGTTCTGAGAGGCAAAATTTCAAGGCATCTTGTCAAATGCCAACAATATTCCTCCCACTTGAGAAAACCTATTAACCCCCCCCCCCATCTGTGAATGGCAGAGCTTTTAGAACATATTTACAAAGTGGCCGAGTCTGTTCTGCTCGCGCTCATGAACTCCATGTGCTCATCACAGCGCAGCTCAATTGTCCCCCGGACGGATGGCAGCCTGGTACGAGGTGGATCATCACACATACAGTTCCATTGAAGATGACATTAAACCACATACACTTCTTTTTTAATTTTTTTTTTTACATTTTATTTATTTTTGATAGAGAGAGACAGAGCATGAGTGGGGGAGGGGCAGAGAGAGAGGGAGACACAGAGTCCGAAGCAGCTCCAGGCCCCGAGCCGTCAGCACAGAGCCCGATGCGGGGCTCAAACTCACAGACCGTGAGATCATGACCTGGGCCGAAGTCGGACGCTTAACTGACTGAGCCACCCAGGTGCCCCGACACTTCTTGTTTTTTAATGTTTATTTATTTACTTTGAGAGAGAGAGAGAGAGAGAGAGAGGGAGGGGGAGGGAGAGGGAGAGGGAGAGGGAGAGGGAGAGGGAGAGGGAGAGGGAGAGGGAGAGGGAGAGAATGAATCCCAAGCATGCTCCATGCTGTCAGCGCAGATCCCGACATGGGGCTCGATCTCACGAACCACGAGATCATGACCTGAGATGAAATCAAGAGTCACACGCTCAACAGACTGAGCCACCAGGTGCCGCTGAACCACATGCACTTTGAATGTCCAGTGAAACAGGGCAGTTCCAGACAGGGAGCCTCTGATGCCTCTTAAATTCTCACTAAAACCACAGCAGAAGGATTCAGTTTTTTCCACACACGCATCTACAAGGACACGGCAAATGGCAGAATAAACAGTTTGAACAAAACAGAAGCCGGGAGTGTGAGGCGGTAGCAGCCCTGCAGGCAGAGGTACGGACCGACCTCCAGGGGAAAACTTGAGCCATAAAAACCCACGTGCGCCCCACTGCCCGTGGAAGGCCCCAGAACTCCGTGTCTATGGGGATGAAGTAGAATCGGAAACAGATTTGCTAAAACGTGCGTAAGAAGCAGTTGGAACTTCCATTTCCATTTTAGGCATGTGGCTGTCCAGCGTGCCAGCCATCACACTAAAAATAACCACAAATGCCGCATAAAATTGTATGTTAATTGCCTTAAGAACCTTGAAGAATTGACTAGAAAGTAAGAAATCATCAGGTCAAAATCTAAGTGAAGGCAAGATTGTAAACAGGTGAAAGGGCCAAGGTGTAACAAAACAACAACAACAAAAAAAAAAAAACAAAAAAAAAAGGTCTCCTTTTAAATTGGATTAAAAGACCCATAGCAACAACCAAAAAATCTAACTGTGCACTATTGGAGAGACATCTAAAACACAAGCTTACAGAAGCACTGAAATTTTTTTAATGTTTATTTTTGAGAGAGAGAGAGAGAGACAGAGGGCAAGTGGCAGAGGGGCAGAGAGAGAGAGAGGGAGACACAGAATCCAAAGCAGGTTCCAGGCTCCGAGTTGTCAGCACAGAGCTCGATGCAGGGCTCAAACCCATGAACTGTGGGGCCTTACCCTGAGCCAAAGTCAGACATTCAACTGACTGAGCCACCCCGGCGTCCCGAAGCGACAATTTTACATCCACGTGTGTTCACTAATGGAGTCACAGAGGAAACGGCACAGATCGACAGAACAAGGAAGAAGTCAAAATGCAAACTCTCGTGGGAAAATTTCACACACCGCTCTCAGGAACTGATAACAAAAGCAGATAGCAGAAGTCATTAATGACACTCGACATCATTAACAAACTGAACGTGACAGACATACAGAGAGCATACCAGCGACAGAATTGTAAGTGCTCCCTGAAGACACACACTGAATATTTACAAAAGCCGTCTCCTGGGCCCGAAGCAGGTCTCAATAGATTTTAAGAGACTAAAATGTACAAGGCTTTGTACAGCATAAGGAACATAGTCAGTTATACTGTGACAGCTTTGTGTGGTGGCAGACGGTGACTATACTTGTCACGGTGGTGACTCTGCAATGTACAATATCAAATCACTACGGGGTGGACCTGAAACAAACACAATATTAATATCGTATGCCAATTATTCCTCAATAAAAACAATCATAAAAAGCTTGTTCTCTGACCAAAAGTCACCAGCCCAAATCAGTAACAAATAGAGAAGTATTTCTAGAAAATAAGAAACATACTTCTAAATAACCCATGGGTCAAGGGAAAAAAATCATGCTGGAAACAGTAAAATACTTTGAGCTGAGTTACAAGGACAGTAGCTCCAATCAACCATAGCGCAGCTGACCCCACGCAGAGCAAACTCCTGAACTTCACACATATACGGCATTAGGAAAAGGCTAAAAGTTAATGCACGAAACACCCAGTTCGAGTGGCTACAGAAAGAACTGCGAGATGAACCCAAAGAAAGTGGAAGAAAGCAGATTGAAAATATTAACAATTCATGCAACAGAAACGAACGTATGTGATCGAGATGTTCCTGGAAACCAAGAGTTTGTATTTTTAAAAGACTAAAATTGATAAATATGTCAGGAAAACATTAAAAACTAAAGAAGTCATGAACAACTTTATGCCAGTAAATTTGAAAATGTAGACAACGGACAGATTATTAGAGAAATATTACTAATCAGAATTGTTTGACCAAAAAAACCTTCCAAAGTCCCATAAACATAAAAGAAACTCAATCAATAGTCAAATGCATTCCCAGGAAGAACACTCCAGGCTCAGAGCCTTCCCCATCCAGTTGTGGGAAACACGCCAGGCGCAGACCACTGGGTTCACACGCACCCCCTCCCGGAGGGACAGGCAGGTCCGGACTTCTCTCGTGGGGCTCACGCAGCCTTCGTCACCAGAGCCCGACACCAACAGCGGAGACCGGAGACGGGGAGCTCCTGTCGTTCAGAGCGCAGACACGAAAATACAGAGAGAGGCATCGTTGGCCTGGATCCGCAGTGTCAACACGGCATAAAACTTCAGGACCACGGCGCGTTTACTTAGCATCGGAAGTCAGCTTAATTCACCCCGGTAACAGACCGAAGGAAGAGAATTATATGATCAACTCGACAAGTGTGGGGAAAAAGTATTGATAAACTTCAACATGCCACTTATGCTTTAAAAAAAAACTTGGCAATCTTACATTAGGAACAGTCTCCCTTCATGTAACAAAGGCTACACGCTGCCGACAATGGACAGGAGGCATCACGCATCATCCTAGACGTTAAAAATGCTCTTTTAAGACGGAAAACAGGGGCGCCTGGGTGGCTCAGTTGGTTAAGTGTCCGACTTTGGCTCGGGTCGTGATCTCACAGTTCGTGGGTTCGAGCCCAGTGTCAGGCTCCATGCTGAGAGCTGGAGCCTAGAGCCTGCTTCGGATTCTCTCTGCCCCTCCCCCCCCCTCAAAAGGTGAATAAAAAATTAAAAAAAGAAAAAGACGGAAAACAAAACAAGGGCTTCCCTGAGCTACTTCCTTCCACTGGCACTCCTGCCTCCCAGCTAGAACCTTTAGGGGTAAAAGGACCAAAAAGGCATTCAGAAAGGCAATGTTTTCAGATAACGTAGCCGTGTACATAGGAAATCCAAATGAGTATACAGACCTCCCTCATGAAAGTTATTGAGACGATGTCGTAATGTCGTTAGATATAAATGCAATAATAAAAACCAAATATATTCCCATTTATCAAAGATTTGGAAAAGCTGCCATTTACAATCCACCAAAAAATACGAACTGCGTAAGGACAAACACAACAAAAGGGTGCAGGACCGCTAACGAGGAAATGACGGAGCCTCACCGGGTGACGGCAAAGGAGGCCTAAATAATAAATACATGGAACAGATGATCCTGACACTTCCAACAAGTGGGTGTCATGGGGGAAAGAGGGATCGGGAGGCCTTTTTAAGTGAAAAGGTCCGGAAGACAAAAGTCCACCTCCTGCGGTGTGGGGGTCCTGTTTGGAAGCAAGTGTAAAAGACGTTTTTGAGATCATGTGGGAAAGTGAACACAAATTGGCATTAGATTTTATTAAGAAATTCGCGTTAGGGGCGCCTGGGTGGCGCAGTCGGTTAAGCGTCCGACTTCAGCTCAGGTCACGATCTCACGGTCCGTGGGTTCGAGCCCCGCGTCGGGCTCTGGGCTGATGGCTCAGAGCCTGGAGCCTGTTTCCGATTCTGTGTCTCCCTCTCTCTCTGCTCCTCCCCCGTTCATGCTCTGTCTCTCTCTGTCCCAAAAATAAATAAACGTTGAAAAAAAAAAATTAAAAAAAAAAAAAAAAAAGAAATTCGCGTTAATTTTGTTGGGGTTGATGATGATTTTGCAGTTATGCGAAAAGTGAGTCTTCAGCCGTTGGAGCTGTATTTACCGGCCCAAACCCACGAACCGTGAGATCGTGACCTGAGCCAAAGTCATATGTTCAACTGAGTGAGCCACCCAGGCTCCTCCAGGGTTTCTTACACAGGACACCAAAGTCATTAGCCATGAGAGGAAAAGCTGGCAGGTGGTCACGTACATTTAAATTAAAAACTGTCATTCAGATGATGCCCTTGGGAGAGTGAGAAAAAAGTTACAAGCCAGAAGATAAATTCAACACATTATCCTAAAGGTCCTCCATCAAGACCACGCAAGGATTACCCACAAATCAGTAAAGAAGGTGGCAGTCCGGGGGCAATGGCAGGACCCACACAGGCACTTAACCATTGAGGACATTCAAATGGCCAGGAAGTGGGGGCAGCCATGTGTCCAGTGTGACCGCGTGCCCCACTTCATGCCTGTTTTCCTGGCATTATTAAGAGTATTTCGGGCGCCTGGGTGGCTCAGTTGATTGAGCGTCCGACTTTGGCTCAGGTCACGATCTCTCAGTATGTGAGTTCGAGCCCCACGTCGGGCTCTGTGCTGACTGCTCAGAGCCTAGAGCCTGTTTCAGATTCTGTGTCTCCCTCTCTCTCTGACCCTCCCCCGTTCATGCTCTGTCTCTGTCTCAAAAATAAATAAACGTTAAAAAAAAAAAAAAAAGAGTGTTTCCCTTTCACTCTTAGCCAAGTCGTGCTCTGGACGATAAACTATTTCTTGGTAATGAACAACAACAACAATTGTCCAACCTCATTTGTAATTAGGGAAACGAAAATTAAAGTCACAATCTCCTATAGTTACGTGGTCATCACACTTGGTAAGACATCACAAGCCCGACAGTGGCAGGTGTGTGAGTGAAGCAGCGGGAACGTTCACTTGGCCATGGCGGGAGCGTGGGAGCGAGAGCGGGGACAATTACTTCCAGAGAGGCCGGCGTCACCCGGTAGAGTTAATGAGCGCGCGCCTCCGTGCGGCTCTCCCGCCGCTGCTGCAACAACTTCCCACAAATCCAGTGACTTCACAGATTTACTGCCTTACGATCCTGACGTCGGATTCTGAAATGAGTCTCACTGGGTGAAAATCAACGTGTGGGCAGGACAGCGTTCCCTTCTGGACGCTCTAGGGAGGATTTTTGTTTCCAGAGGTCACGCACACTCCTGGGCCCACTGGACCGCCTTCAAAGCCAGCAGCGTCAGTGTGGTCTTTCTCCTGGGGCCCCCTGACTCTCTCTCTCCTGCCTCCCTGTCCTACTTCTGAGGACCCTGTGTCTGCACTGGGCACATGTGGATAATCCAGGACAATCTCCCCATCTCCAGACACCTGGGTAACAACGTCAGTTCCCCTGCCGCATCATCTAACATATTCCCAAATTCCAAGGATTAGGTCTTGGATCTCTCTGGGCACCATTCTGCGCCCCCCTACTCTCTGACTCAGTGGTTCCTCTCCTAGGTGTGTGCCCTACGGAAAGTCTCAGCCGTTATGCTCATGTCCCGGAGCTGTCACAGCACAAGCGTGGCACAGCGGGCGTCTCAGGACAACGGAAGTGTATTCTCTCACACTTCCGGAGGCCAGGAATCTGACATCAAGGTGCCGGCAGGGCCTTGTTCCCTCTGAAGCACGACAGCAGGGTCTGTCCCAGGCCTCCCTCCCAGGTTCCGAGAGTTCCTGGCCTGTGGCAGGGCAACTCCAACCTCCGTGTGATGCTCTGAGTGCACATCTACGTTCAAATACCTCTTTTTTTTTTTTTTAATGTTTATTTATTTTGGAAGGAGAGAGAAACAGAGCATGAGCGGGGGAGGGGCGGAGATAGAGGGAGACAGAATCTGGCAGCACAGAGCCCGACGCGGGGCTCAAACTCATGAACCTCAAGATCATGACCCGAGCCCAAGTCAGACGCTCGACCTACTGAGCCACCCAGACACCCCTTAAATACCTCCTTTGTATAAAGACACCTGACATATGGGATCAGGGGCCCACTCTCCTCCACTGTGACCTCATCTTACTGAATTCCATCCCCAGTGACCCTATTCCCAAATGAGGTCACATTCTGAGATGCCAGGGGTTAGAGCTTCAACCTATGATTTTTTTTTTTTCCCCTGAAGAAACACAATTCAATTCATCACAGACTTAAACAACAGGAGACATAACACGACCTCAGAGAGCAGCAGCAACTCTGGGAACAAAGCCCCCTGGCCACCAACAGCAGAAAACACCGACAGCGTGATCCGGCCTACAGAGTGCTGGATGGTAACGAGGAAGGAGCCGGCGCCGTGTCACAGAGCGGGTGGGCCTCTTCCACACGACTGATGGGAAGATGGTGCACAGCACTCACCCTTCTTCCCTCTGGAAGCTTCTGGACTAGGTTCCCCAGGAGGGGCAGGCAAAGTAGGACCCAGGGTGGCCCAGAGCTGGCTGTCAGGGCCCGAGTAGGAGGAAGGCAGCGCTGAGAAGGGCATCAGAGCCCAAGCAGGGTGGAGGGGGAGCCCGCGGTGAGCCGCCCAGCTCAAGCCTGGGAAGGTGACGCGGCCACTAGCCTCAAAGTATCTCCCAACAAAATACGCGTTCATTACAGAGGGGAAAAGTAACTTCCCAGCGGAGACATTGGCAGACACCACTTTGATTAAGTGATCAACGCAAACATCATCTGTAATGTGACAAATGGGCCACCATGAGCCACCTGACAGGATGGAATGGGATGACGAAAGTTGTGCATAAGTTCTGTGACTTTTCTGCCAAGGATGCATAATGCGAATCTAATCTTGAGGAAACATCAGACAACCCAAATGGAAGAGCTTTCTACAAAGTCACTGCCTGCAGCCATCAAAGGTGCCAGGATCATGGGGGCCAAAGAAAGGCTGGGGAATGCTGTGGACCGAAAGACACCGAACAAACACTAAGTCGCTATGATGACCGAGTGCTGTGCGACGTCCCAGACTGAGTCCTTTTGCTTTTGTGACTTTACGGGATCAACTGTCAAAATGTGCTTGACTGGGCTGAGGACCAGCAGTAGTGACACATCCATGTGACTCTCTTGACCTTGATGGTCATGTGGACCATGGTCATGCCCGAGAGGGCCCTTGCAGGTAGGAAATGCTCAAAAGTACGGTGGTGGTGATAAAGCTTCATGCAAGCTACTCACTCTCAAATGCTTCAGGAAAAGGAAGATTGTTGGTGTTCAACTTGCAACTTTTATGCCAACTTGGGGTTGTTTCAAAATTGAAAAAGAATATACACCGTATCATTCCATTTATATGAAGTTTAACAACATGTGGAATTTAATCATATTGCTTAGGAATGCACACATAGGTGGGACACCTAGAGAAAAGCAAGGGAGTTAGACTCACAAACCAGCTCATGGTCCTGGGGGGAGGTCTGCCAGGCAGGAGAGGGGTGGGTTGACTTGTGCAGTCATAACACGCTTTTATTTCTGGACTTGGGGGGTCGCCACCGATGTTCACTTTAAAACCAATGTGTACGCTGTGCGCATGAATTTCCGCATGGCTTACCCGCAGAGAGTGAGTGCGGGAGTCTTCTGAGCTGCTGCAGACCAGACTGGGGCCTGCTCACGTGCTCGGCGCCCAGGCCCCACCTGCCCCCCACCTGCCCCCTCACTTGCTCGGCACCTGCTCCTCATCTGTCCCTCACCTAATAAGTGCCCAGTCCCCACCTGCTCCTCACCTGCTCAGTGCCCAGTCCTTGCACACGTTCAAGGAAGGCTCGCTCAAGCCCAAACTGCGAGCGGATAAACGAGTATCCGCTGGTGGACGACGTCGGAGCGGAGGCCCTCCCGCTTCCCAGACCCGGTTATCCTTTGCAGAACCGAGTCGGGAGGCCCTGGGGACTCCGCAGGGCGCCCTCCTACCCCGCCCGAGGTCCCCTCACCGCCGCGGCGGAGGCGCGGCGACCACACGCGGCGGGCGCGCACCGTCGGGCGCAGGGCCCCCGAGACCCGCCGCAAGCAGGCGCCGGCCCGGCAGGACTTGGGCGGCGAAGGCGCTGGGCCGCGTCCGAGGAGCTACGAGGCGGACGGACCCACCTCTCTGCCGACCGGAGCGGGTCGGAACGGCGCGCACGGCAGCTCCTCCGAAGCTCCGCGTCGGCGGCGTCGGCGGCGGGAGGCTCCATGGCAACGGGCGGCCCCACGCGGCGGGGGAGCTCGCGCGCCGCACGCAACCCCCGTTCTCGCGATGGTTCTGTCCGGCGCGCCCCGCGCAAGCGCAGTGCGCCCGGGATGCAGGCCGCGTGCGGAAGGGCTCGGAGAGGACTGCGCGGCCGGGAGGACCGGACCCGGCGCCGGGTCGGCGCTCCGGGTTTGGCCCAAGGCGACTTAAGTTCGGACGGGCTGTCAAGCCTAAAAACTAGGTGTGTTCACGTAAAATCGGCATTTGCCCTGCTTTGCGCAAGGAGGGGGGGGGGGGGAGCGGGCACAGCGTGCCGGCTGCGCTGGAGCGGAATCGAGCCTCGCCTCGCTCCCCCCCTTCCCCCGTCCCCCGAGGCCCGGGGTCGCCGTTATACCGTAACTCCTGCCCGCCTTTCCTGTCAGGCGACCTGCCTGGCGCGGGAGTGTGTGTGACGAAGGGCACCTCCCGCCAGGCCACGCAGGGGGCGTCCGGCCACCCGAGGGCGTGGGTGCACCTCTGCCTTTGCAGAGACTTGCATGTGACTTGCAAGGTGGTTGGCCCCGCTAGCCGCGTGCTGGTTTTGACCCCTGCCTCCTGGTGCCACAGTGAGGTCCAGGAAGTCCTTTAAGTTTGTGCAGGGAAGACGATCCATCAGGGCCACCAAGCCTCGCAAAAAGCGCAGCAAAGGTGGGAACGGTGGGAGCCAGCCGGTGGCAGCACGCTCCTGCGCCCTCATCGCCCGCTGGTGTTGGCCAGGGCTTCTCCCTGCTCAGAGTGAGGGACCTCGGGGAGACCGAGGTCACCGTATCAGCCCCCGGTGGTAGCCCCTTTACCAGCAATTCTACTTCTCTTCCCCACCCACGCACATGGCGACATGGCGGGGCTTCTTTCTCCCCAGCTTTGCCTTTCTGGGCCTTTCCACATTAACCATCAATACACTTTCTACTGTAGAAGGAAAGGGGAGCAAAGACTGGAAACACTCCAGTGTTCACCAGTAGGAGCTGCGGGAAGAAAGTGTCGGGAAGGTGTGCAGCCGCGCCCTGGAGCAGCTGTGAAAGACTGCTCCCATGTTCTGTCCCAGAGTGGCCTTCAGAACGTGTTGTTAAGAAAGATAATAATAAAGTTACAGAACAGCGTGTATGGTATTTTACTAAGAAGGGGTAGAAGCAATAAGAATGTACGTGGCTATTTTCCTACCTTGAAAAGTAACGTTCAAACGGTTACCCACAAGGGTCAGGAAGGTGAGGTGTGTGCAGAAACTAGATTTCTCCACGTGTGCTTGTCCCTTTGGCTTTGGAACTGTGTAATGACAAAGCCAAAAGTAAATCAATTCCTAAAAATCGGAAGCAAAATGAAACAAATGATCCTAACGGTATGTCAGGTTGGGGGCTTAACCACACAGAAAATAATTCAAGTGACATTAAAACCCAACACTTTGTACGTAAGTAGCTGCAAAGAAATGGCAGCTGCAAAGAAGTCTCAAACTGAGCAAAAAGAGCTGCAAAGAAATCTCAAACTGTTTGCATTAATCCTGGTCTTGGGAATAATATTGCCGTTGCTATTTTGGAATTGTGTGAAGTGGGATAGAGCAATTAAGTAGTGTGGTTAATATTAGGAGCCAATAAGGGCACCTGGGTGGCTCAGTAGGTTGAGCCTCCAACTTTGGCTCAGGTCAGGATCTCGCAGTTTGTGAATTCGAGCCCCACGTCAGGCTCTGTGCTGACAGCTCAGAGCCTGGAGCCTGTTTTGGATTCTGTGTCTCCCTCTCTCTCCCCCTTCCCTGCTCATGCTCTGTCTCTACCTCTCAAAATTGAATAAACGTTAAAATTTTTTTAAATATTAGATGCTTTTAAATATCAATGCTTTTAGCTTGAGAGAAGAGATGGAAAATAAGTTAAAAACCTGTAATCTTGGATTTCAATGGGAAATATTAGTATGACTTAATATCTTTTAAAAATGTATTTCTCAGCTCTATCCACTGGAAAGGTCTAGAACTGTCCAATATGGTAGCCACTGGACACATGTGGCTATTTAAATTGAAAATTAAATTAAAAAGGGGAGCCTGGGTGGCTCAGTCGGTTAAGCGTCCGACTTTGGCTCAGGTCATGATCTCACGGTTGGTGAGTTTGATCCCTGTGTCAGGCTCTGTGCTGACAGCTCGGAGCCTAGAGCCTGTTTCAGATTCTGTGTGTGTGTCTCTCTCTCTCTGCCCCTCCCCCACTCACAGTCTGTCTCTCAAAAATGAATAAATTAAAAATTTTTTTTAATTAATTAAAATTAAATACTTGAACAGATATCTTTACACCAATGTTCATAGCAGTGTTATTCATAATAGCCAAAAGGTGGAAACGACCCAAATGTCCATCAGTGGAAGAATGGAAAAACAAAATGTGATATGTATATATAGATATAATAGACTATTTAGCCATAAAAAGAAAGGAAATTCTGACACATACAACATGGGTAAACTTTGAAGACATTATGCTGAGTGAAAAAAGCCAGACACAAAAGAAGAAATATTGTTTGATTTCACTTCTATGAGGTACATGGAGTAGTCAAATTCAGAGAGACAGGAAGTAAAGCAGTGGTTGCTTTACTGTGCGGCGGGGGTGGGTGTGAAATGGGGAGTTAGTGTTTAATGGGGCAGAGTTTCAGTTTGGGAAAATGGAAGGGTTTTGGCCACGGGCGGTGGTGATGGTTGCAAATAATGTGAATGTGCACAATGTTGTGACCTGTACACTTAAAAGTGGTTAAAAAGGTAACATTTATGTCATGTATATTTTACTGTAAGAGAAACATTTCAATTAAATAACATTAAGAATTCCATTTCTTGGTTTCAAGCGTTCAATAGCCCCGTGTGGCTAGTAGCTGCTATATTAGGGCAGATATAAAAAGTTCTCATTGTTCTCCTGGGCTGCACTGGTCTGAAAACAAACCAATTCAGGACAAGCGAGCACTCTTAGCACCCAGATTGTTGTCCCTGCATGCCATTTCCCACCAAAACAAACCATAGCTTCATAGGAAGATGACTGATTTCAGACCTGAGGCAGAAAGCACACATGATGGGGGGGCTCCGTTGGTTAAGCATCTGACTCTTGATTTCGACTCAGGTCATGATCTCCCGGTTTGTGGGTTTGAGCCCTGTGTTGGGCTCTGTGCAGACAGTGCAGAGCCTGCTTTGGGATTCCAGACTGCCCCTCCCCCCTTGCACAGGCACTGTCTTTCCCTCATAATAAATAAATAAACATCAAAAAAAAAAAAAACAAAAACCACACAAGATGGTCCTGGAGCCTCTTGTCAACAGAAAGCAAGGAAATTATCAGTGAGACTAGCATTGCATCAGAGGATTCGCTAGCCGGAGGCGCTCCCACTAGCCAAAGTAAGGACAATTTGAGTATCAAAAAGAAAAGTAAATATAACAGATTGAAGCATGGCAAATGTGTTAATATCCATGAGCGCATTAAAAAAATAAAATCTTCATTGATCATCTTTGACAGATGCTAGGATACTAAGTGACTATTCTGTGGTAGCAGCCAGCCATGGGGGAGGCTCCACTCTGATCTCCCTTCCAGAGAGAATTTTCATTCAACTGCTAGGAGTGCAGCTGGCTGCCCGCCAGGTTCAGTACGCTGAGTTCACTCTCTTTCTGGGTCGTCTCTGGTCAGAGATGGAGCATGGCGGGGGCTCTAGGTGGACCATACCCATCAACCCGGGACTCCTCTAATGGACAATCTCTGCGCCAAAGTTCCTCCAACCCCTTCCTTTGGGTTGGCCCAAACTTCGCTAGATTTGCATTAGAGTTAGATTCTCTCTGCCCGATCCTACTTCTTCCCACTTTTCCATTCACAGGCTTCAGATCAGTATTGCAGTCTGCCGACTTCCTCGGCCCAATTTCACTCCCCACCCCCACTCCTGATCTTTCATAGCCATGAGCCCCCAGTGAATCTCTTGCATTCTGAATGGCATCTCGCGGTATGCTTACTAGAGGACCCAAATTAACAGGGTTGGTAGCAGCAATGGTCTGAGAAAGTAGATGGTGAGGCGGGGATTTGTAACTAGATCACTCGCTGCCCAGCTGGTAGTGAGCAGCTCATCCCGCATAGTGTGTGGACGCCTTGAACAAGGAGGCAGCCCACTGGCAACATTTTCACCAGGAATAAATTGGGAGAAGAGTGGTTAGTACAGTGACTGAGAAGGATGTCTGTTTGGGAGGGTGACAGAGACATGCAAGCACGATGATCTCGCTGATGCTGACTGGCACTGGCACCCCGTCCAGGGATCTGAGAAGTTGGAGACAGTTAACAACCGAAAGTAAGTGTATTGGCACCAAATGCAAAGGTGACAAAAGCAAAAATGAACAAGCGGGACTATATCAAACTAAACACCGTCTGCACAGCAAAGGAAGCCATCCACAAAATAAAAAGCAGCCTATGGAATGGGAGACAATATTGGCAAATCATGTATCTGGTAAAGCATTAATGTCCAAAATATATAAAGAACTCACACAACTCAATAGCAAAAAATCCAAACAATCCAACTAAGAAATGGGCAGAGTACATTTGCAGCAACGTGGATGGAACTGGAGTATATTATGCTAAGTGAAATAAGTCAGAAAAGACAGATAGATGATTTCACTCATATGTGGATTTTGAGAAACTTAACAGATGATCGTAGGGGAATGGAAGGAAAAATAAGATACAAACAGAGAGGGAGGGAAACCATAAGAGATTCT